CCCCCCCCCGTATAGCTATCAAGTCAATGTACAAAGTGCTTGTAAATTTACAATTTCAAATTCAACTCTACGACAAACATTTTTCGCTCCTATTCGTCCTTACGTAATTTATGCACGACCCCTTAGACAATAAAGGCATGCCAATTTAAGCGAATACGTTAAAACTATAGAGACCAACATAGTTTTCAATCGCATGACCGACGTTTCATGTCGTTCTGGTGGAAATAAACGTTGCACATCAGAGAGGTAATGGCACTCCAAGATAAGCTCGTCGCCCCTTGGCAACCACAAATCAACTAGAACCAAGTGCATTCTCGGATATACTTGATTTCAATCAATGAAAAATTACGTTCGAATAATAGGCAGGAGCACGACACTTGTGTCAAACGTATTTTTATTTTAACAATGCAGTGTCTCCCGCTCACATCAACCTAACCTCAAAACTCATCGCAGTCCTAACCACAAGCGACAGAGTTCTTACAAGGAATACGACGAGTTTAATACATTGAAGAGAACTTACCGGGAGTGTAGTCCGGTTATGTAGCAGGCCGGCTTTGCGCCGAGTACTTTCCAGCTTGAAACTACTAATCTTCTCTTGCACAGCATTAGAAGCTTCACCTTCGTGCGTTGACTTTAGCTCCCTCCACAGTTCATTTGAAGTGAAATCTTCTTTTGACGTCTCGTTTGGATGAGCACTTTTCACGGCGTTAAATATATCAGCGTAACTCATTTCACTAAACATCACAGACACGGACAAGTCGAGAGTTTGTTGTGATACGTTCGCGGCGCGGCGCGGTAGTCGGCCAGGCCAGGCCAGGCGGCGTACTCCCAGTGGGACAGGCGCGGTCGCGCGGTCGTGAGCGATCGGCCGAGCGCAGGGAAGGCGGGAGACGGAACAGGCACGTTTTCTCCTTCTGGTTGGTAGAGACAGTCTTCGAAAAGACGGCATTTAGACTCCCCCACCCCCTCTCCCGTATCATCAACCGTCACTTTTTGCTCCCCCTCCTCGATGTTGTTTTGGGTGCAGGCTGGAGTGCCGGCGGCGGGCGTGGCGCGGCGTGGTGTAGGGCTGGGGGCGAGCTGCAACGACGCCACGCAGCAGCAGCAGTGACGTCAGAGGGAAGGCCAAACCACTGGTACCGGGTAGCGCGGGCTCAACGCAGGTAGGGTAGGGACACTATTGGACACCACAGCTCGTCGGGCGGGCCCCGCCGCCGGGCCCCGCCGCCGGGCCCCACAGCTGCGCACTCCAGATGACGCTCAGCGTGTGAGACAAAGGGCGAAACACAAAATCACTAATAACTCGCGAACCCCGCAACCGATCGACACAGCACTTTGCACAGACACTCGCGGGCACAACGCCGATTCACTGATAGTAAATTGGACTCGGAGAGCTGAGATTATACCAACAAAATACGAAGCAGAAGACGGAGCGACGTGGAGGCGTGCGCACCCCACGCCGGCTCGGCCGGACGACCCCCCCCCCCCCAACCCTCACATGTAATGAGCGAGTCACTTGGTATGAAGGAGAAAAGAAGATGGTGGCGTAGCGGACCCAAGACAAAGCAGAAAGCTGCATCGTGGAATTGCGTTTATATTCAAAGTAGTGTATTTCAAATTAGTTTTTAATCCCCACTAGCCTACAAACTCTATTTGGAAGGGTTTCGCGACCAGGTTATGTCGCTTTGTGTTGGGTCGGCGCTACGCGGGTTTAAACTGTTTGTTTTTATATTCACGGATTCATACTGGTTGTTAAATTTTAGATTTGTCTAGTATACGGTGACTGACTAAACGCGGGGTTGGGCTTGCAGATGGCCGGGTGGACGTGCTCGCAGCTGGTGGTGCTGGCTCAAGCCCTGCACTGACGGTGCCTGCAGCTGCTCTGGAGCTGCCCTGGAGCTGCTTTTGAACGGCACACGGCACGACGAGGAGTGTGGGTGCGCACGAGAGGGTGCGGCACCCTTCTCCTCCACCGTCTCCATCTCCATCTCCAGGACGCACGAACACGTAGCAAGGAGCCACGAGGGGATGGGGGGAGGGGG